ATGTTCTGGAGAAACACTGTCCATACGGTCACCAGGAGTTGGAAAAGACTTGATGGCACTTATTAATAATAATAAAATAAAGGCCACCTCACAGACAGTTATTACATGAAATATAAATTGCTATATGAGTAGTTTCCCCAATGCCTGAGACACTGTTTTACAAAAGTTTTGTGGTAAAGTTTTGGCTGAAAACATTGTTTAATCCATTCAAGTCCAAGATGTGCATGCATGATGTTAGTTGGCAGTACAATCCACAAGAAAAATGTTTTTTTTTTTTCAGATTTACCACTATTTACTTTCTTCAACGTTACACATGAAAACTCAGAAGACACGTGTAGGTTCACTGGTCATTTTAGACAGTAAATAAAATGGCTATATTTGTGTTATAGACATTGTGACCGCTGGTTCCTATCAGCACCACTGTAAAGAAATCTGAGCCTATATGTTTCTCTACAATGAGCCACTTCACATCAAACCACTCTGAATGACTCTGAATACATCTTTGCCATTGAATTATGCAGAAATTTTGAAAACTCAGTGGAACTCAGTAAAAACTCAGTGGGAATTTTCAGGACTCCCTCCACCCCTGCACTCAGCACACTTTGGAAAAATATACCAACTACTGAAGTCCTGTGATCAAAGCCACAAGGATAGAGAGAACAGAGAGCAGTGAAAGAGAAGGCACAGAAGAGTGACAGCGATCCCCCACACACTTATAGGAGTAATGGAGGAGTAATGGAATAAGAGTTAGAAACAGAGAGACAGAACATTAAGCATGCCAACAAAGGCCAGATGAAATGTCCCCTAGATGATGTAAATCATTAACATTGTGATGTCGTGGGGACATTTTGCTGGTCAACACGAAGAAAAATGTTTCGTTAGACAGGAAAAAAGGTATAGGAAGTGAAAAAAACAAATGATTAATGTTCGGCTCCTGAGCTTAGCCTTGGGTCAAGTGTAGGACAGCAGCATTTAGCAGCAGGACATGGAATGAAAAAAAAGTGTGTTGTGTGTCAGAAAGCAGTGACTTTGATTTTTTCCATTTGTGTTTTATTAAGTGGTTGAGCAGTTACTGATCTACTCCCTCGCAATGGAGTTTTCTGCATAGAGATGAGGCTAACATGCTGATCTTATCGTACTGTTACATAAACTTTAATATGTTTATTTGCCTGAAGGTACACTTGTACCGTATACTGTGGGTAAGAATGGTTACCAAATAACTAAAAATAAATGGGAAAAATGCTTACACAGGCATTCTGGCCTAAAAACAGCATTTAATGTTAGTCATGTTTTGCAGGATTCTGTAGTGCAAAACTGCACCCCTCAGCTTTATCGGTTTAACAGAATTCACAATTTTATATCCTTTTTGTGTTTTTTTTGTCCATCCTCACTACAACACAGAGCGGCATTACACAAATACATCATACAACCATCAACAATTCAAACAGCCTGCCTTTTGTATCTGCTCCAAAGTGCTTGTAGTTTCTTTCTGACGGCTGTATGATGTGAGCGAGCATGCTGACAGCAGATGCAGTGATGTTAAATTCATTATAGTCAGAATGTTCCTTTAATAAATGTTAAATGAATAATGGTTCATTCTGAAAGCAGCAGTTTCAGCTGATGTTTGTGAGTAAAGTTCTAAATGGGCAAAGAGAAAGACTGGAAATAGGCTCAAAAAATGACAAAGCAATCTATTACTATCTGTATGTCATCCGCTAACATACTCTATATGGCCAAAAGTATGTGGACACCTGACCTTCGCACCTATATGAACTTGTTGGACATTAATATGGAGTTGGCCCCATCTTTGCAGCTATAAAAGCCTCCACTATTCTGGAAAGGTTTCCCACAACATTTTGGAGTGTGTCTGTGGGAATTTGTGCCCATTCAGTCAAAGGAGTATTTTTGAGGTCAGTACTGATGTTGGATGAGAAGGCCTGGCTCACAATCAATGTTCCAATTCATTGCAAAGGTGTTCAGTGGGGGGCTCTGTGTAGGCCACTGGAGTTCCTCCACACCAAACTCATAAAATCATGTCTTTAAGGACATTTTTGTCCACAGGCGGGGCAGCTGGAACATTAAAGCAAAAAGCATTCCCTTAACTTTGTTAGCACAAAGTTATAATTGTCTAAAATGTCTTGGAGGTACATGTGATGTATTTGTAACCATTTCATGTGAAAACTTTCTAAGAGGTGTCTTTTAGAGGCATTCAGACATCAGACATCTGGTTCCTATCACCACCACTGTGAACAATTCTGACTAGAATGGCGTATTTCACACCAAAGCACTCTGAATGACTTTGTTTACATCTTAAAAAAATAATTATACACAAATTTTGAAACATCTGTGGAATTCCCCTTTAAGGGATGCACATAGTGCAAGCACAGATGAGGCTTGATCTTGGGGATCAGGATCTGCATCGCATGATCCTGAAATCACACGCAAACAAATGAGAGAACTGTGTCAGGAGCCAAAATGGTGCCTGAGCAACTTGAAATAATGTGTCATTGGTGCAACGCTAAAATGTACGCTAGACCTCTGATATCGTGTGTCATTCTGTGGTAAAAAAACACTTTTTCTTTATGACAAAAAACAAATGCTTTCAAACACTGCCACTGTCGCATAATGTGCTGAACAAAAATGCTCCAAAGCCAATACTCTTTGTCCTGCGTACATTTTGTCCTCAGATTGTCAGTGGATCCCCTGAATGATGAGGTCATTTTGCAGTCAAAATATGAAAAATGTTACATGTGATAAGCAAGCTAGCACTCAAATAAAAGCTGCATCAAAGTCTATATCACTATTATATACCAACACAAGCTACTCAAACTGCAGCCTAAAACTGCCAAAGCAACTTAAAGGAACAATATGTAATATATTTACTGTACTAAATCATAAAATTAATTGGAAAGGAAATATGCTAAGTTTAAATACTGTCTTCTCCGACATCAGTGCAAATGCTGGTATGTTCTCCTTTGAAATTTCCATTCCAGAGTGGAAAGTCTGTTTGTGGTTTGGCCTGTGATCCTGCCCACTACCCATTTCCTAGTACCATTGCCACACCCTCGGTTGCCAGATATGAAACAAATTGGCCAGCAAACATACTGGATTAACAGAGACAACTTCTACATGCTTCTAAAAAGGTCTCTTACAGAGATGTAGCAAAACGCAAGTAAATATTGGCGATGCATTTGAAAGACGGAGACAGCGTAAAGCCCAGAAGGACTTCTAGTTGATTTTGCTAATTTTCTCCAGAACAGGTAAGCACTGAGCTTCAGCTAAGGTTACCTTAACTGATCCACATGAGCTGGTTTATAATTTGCAAACAATAAAAACATTGCAAACGTATACATCAGCTGATCAACCTACAGTGTAGGACTTGTCATCGTTTGCCATTGTCAAAGTTTGTTGCACTTGTCTCGCGCTTATTCGTGTGGGTTCAGTGTCTTCAACCTGGCAACCCACGTGAGTTTCAATTCTGGGGATGAGGTTGCGGGAGCAGACAACTTTCTTCGGTATTTTGAATTTGGACTGCAGGACTCATTTGATATAAAAGCTTCCTTGTCAGTATTATGTATTGTTCCTTTAACTACTGCCCTTGACAAAGCCTACTCATTTACTCATTCGTATGGAGTATTTTGGTGAGGTTGCCAGTCTTATGATGCCAGTTCAATCTGCAGTGTTAGCTTCAGTGTAGCAATATTTGTATTTTGGCTCCTAAATGACCTCATAACTCGGAGGATCCAATAACAGTCAGAGGAAAAAGGATGTGACCATGATGAATAAAAAAAACATTCAGTTCTGTAATGGTGGACACCTTTGACCCTGAGCTCCTAATATGGGCATGACGATGACTACAGAATAACACGTGACTTCAGACGTTTATAGTACACTCTTAAAAATGATGGTTCTTCAAAGGTTCTTTAGTAAAGAAATTGGTTCTATATAGAACCATAAACGCTGAAAGAACTCTTTACATAATTAAACGGTTCTTTGCATCATGAAATGGTTCTTCAGATTGATGGACAATGTGCTGTAGATGGTTCTGTATAGAACCTTTTCGAAAAGGATCCGTTACAAGCTTGACATCATAACAATAGAAGAACGCTTTTCAAAAAGGTTCTATATAGATACGGAGTCGCTGCTGGAGACATCCTGGATAAATAAAAAATAATGCTTGGCCATGAGTAAGATGTGGGAACAAGATAATTAAGTCATGGTCACAACTTAGTAAGGCGTGGAGACGAGATGCTAATGCATGGCCACGACTTAGTAAGGTGCGAGAACGAGATAATTAAGTCATGGGCAATACTTAGTAAGGCATGTGAACAAGATAATAAAGTCGTGGCCACGACTTAGTAAGGCGTGGGAACGGCATAATTAAGTCATGGCCACAACTTAGTAAGGCATGGGGATGAGATCCTAATGTGTGGCCACGACTTTGTAAGGCTTAATAAAGCGTTATCTCATTCCCACAACTTAATTATCTCATTCCCTCGCCTTACTAAAATGTGGCCACGCATTAGGATCTCTTTCCCACGCATTAATACAGCGTGGCTACGCATTATTTCTAATTATATGGGATGTCATCAGCGGGGCTCTGTATACAGAACCATTTTCTTTACTAAAGAACCCTTGAAGAACCTTCTCTTTAAGAGTGTAGACCTGTTTTCTGCCTTCACGCCAAACAACCAGAGCCCTACGAGCGTCATCCCTCAGACTCAGTTCACTCAGACAACACTGCCCAAGTGATCTAAAAAACCACGACTGACCCTTAACAGCCTCCCTGACTCAGTCACATGACCTGAACTGACCCTGGTGAGCTATTAGCGTGAAAGCGCGGCGGATAAAAACATGTTCATCCACATTTCCGCAAGAAAATACAGCCACTTATTTACTGACCAGGTCATTCATCATCCTCAGCTCATCTCTCACAGAGCGGAGCTGAACCGCCGCTAGAGGGAGGAAAGCAGACAGTCTTTCGCTCACAGCCGGGAGGAGAGGGAGCTCTAAGAGCTGTGCATCACCGGACCTGCGCCGGCTCTTCAGGGGCTACTTTTTAAAGAAATGCCGCTAAAGTGGAACACAACTGTTATTACGGGCAAAGCCAGAAGACCGAGAAGTCCATCCAAAAGTCGGTAAGGTGTTTGTACTTTTTTCCTTTTCTGGACACAAACATGAGGTTTATTTCCCTCACTTGTCTTCTTCCACTGATGTTCGCCCTGTAGAGCCTGGTTTAGTTCAGGATTAGTGGACATTCTGCTCTTTTCTCGAGCCTCTCTTTGATGAACTAGTAACTGGTAAAATAATGTGATTTAAATTAGATTACATTTTTACAATATGTTTAAAAAGTTTTAGTATTTTCCTCTGCAAAAACGAGGAAAAAAAACTTTTATGCACTATATTATTATTATTATTATTATTATTATTTGAAACGCTAGCTTGCACGCAGCTATCGGCTATTTGTACCACAGTGACTTTGCTGTGTGCGCAAAGATTTAGCGCCACGAAGATAAAAGCGCGTGTAGATCCGCCGCAGCGCCACAGGCCTGACTAGTTATGAATAAAACAGCTGTTAGAATTGACTGTATCCAGCTAGAGGTGGGCGATGTGGCAAAATGTCATATCAAGGTCCTTCAGGAAGAGATTTAAGTAGTGCCACATTTTAAAAATACTATCAAAACTATGAATCTAATTACTCTTCAACATTTCAGACACTGTGCTGCACTAAATCCAATTAAACAGGACCAAGTTATGTTCCTTTTAATCAAATGTGCTATTGGGGTGTATTTTTTAGGAAACAGACTATATGCTGGATACACTCAGAAAAGCATACTGTGATGTAATTTATCACCATAATAATACATATAGTCACATTGCCCAGCTCCAAGTGCAATTCAGTTCAATTCATATTTTCATATTCAGTTCAGTTCATATTCAGTTCATTATCAAAACACACACACATGCATACATATGAATATATATATATATATATATATATATATATATATATATATATATATATATATGTAAAGAGAGAGAGAGAGAGAGAAAGAGAGAGAGAAAGAGAGAGAAAGAGAAGATGAGTTTGAAATACAAAAGTCTCAGGGCTCTAATTTGAAGGATATTTCATAAAAAAAATAGGATGAAAAATTAGGATGAAACAGTTTAGTTTTTTTTAACCAACTTACAGAACACTTGTTTTTCTGTTCTCATTTTTAGAGAACTGTAAAAGCAATTAACACATAAAAACACACTAAAACCATCTATAATGTAGATTGTTTCTACTGATGAGAGATTTCATACTGAATAGAAAAGCTTCAAGGCTTCAGGACAGTGTTTGAATACTAACAATTTTCAGCATGGGCCATTTAGTGAGACAGCATCTCACGCATTAAGCCTGTAGGCTGCTGAATATGGCTTTTGTGTTAAGGGAAAAATATTTATGTGAGGTACTCAAGGTGAATAGCCCTGAATAAAATAGTTATTCATAATGATGAATTGTGAGGCTTTACATTCTAAACAGTTTAACTACAACATGATTCATTAGAGAATTATGTCCAGTCAATATCAGGCTGAGACAAAGCAAATGTTGGCCTTCATTTTGTACTGAATGAATAGATTTTCATTTGAAATCTGATGTGCAACAAAGTCTGGAGGACAATCTTTAAGATTATATACCTTTATAATCTATATATATATATCTTAAGCAAAAGTTGAGTGTAACATACTGGAAAAATGATAAAATATAAAATGTGCCATAACTTTTGCACGGACCACATTTTATGTCTTTTTCCAATAAGTTAAATTCAGTAAGTAAAGAGTAATGATGCATTAAAATGTGCAGAAGTGTGTTCTCTGTAAAGAATATAATAACTTCTTTTCACTTAGAAAATCAACAGCCATTTGACAGACAGACAGACAGATAGATACCAAAAAATTGAAGGGTATCAACAAAAGATAGAACAAAATAGAACTGTACAAATCATAAATGTAATACAATATAAATACAAATATGTTACAAATACATATACATTCAAATTACACTGTTAACCACAGTGGATCTCTACATTTACCTGCAACTTGCTCTTTAAAGAACATGAAAAAACATAGGCTCCACGACTGAACCTTGCAGGACACCTTTCTCAAGACAATGAACATGACATGAACCATTTGTGATTTAATATCTAATATCTTGCTTTTCTAGCTTGAGATACAAAATACAGGACAAACTACACAGACTCCAGCATGATTTTCTGTTTTAGATTACAATACCATTTTCTTAATCTTTGCAGGAAATGAAGAAATGTCAAGAGAAGGATGAGATGAGTAAGAGCAACGCAGCTAATGTAGCTTAATCCAGTACAAGCAATAAAGAGCAAAGATGGGGGAGAGAAACCAGACGATCTTGGCAGTTACATGGTCTCAAGGCCAGCCTTTAGAGAGCCCTCAGGACCCTTTTGTGACAAACTATGACATTCTTTTGGATTATGACGTTCCCCTGGACGAGATCCCGGACACGACTCAGGGCAGAGCCTTTTTTGTAGCTACCATCATCATCGCTGTTGTTCTGGTCAGCATCATGCTTGTTTGTGGGATTGGGAACTGCCTCTTCATCGCCACATTAGCACGTTACAAAAAGCTACGGAACATCACCAACCTGCTCATTGCTAACTTAGCAGTGTCAGACTTCCTGGTGGCAGTTGTGTGCTGTCCATTCCTGGTGGATTACTATGTCGTTAAGCAGCTCTCTTGGGACCATGGGATCGTCCTGTGTGTTTCCATCAACTACCTGAGGACAGTGTCTCTCTACGTGTCCACTAACGCCCTGCTGGCCATCGCTGTAGATAGGTGAGTGTCTGCTTTTAACAGTATCATGCCATGACCTCCTTCGAGTCCACAAGCTACCCAGTGGGAGAGGCCTTTCTTTGAAAATCTGTTTGGATATAAGGCATAAAATCCAAAAAGGCAATGTTCTTGTTAGAAATAGTTCTTGTGTTCTGCAATAACATGAACATGAGCATGAAATGTGCTCTACAGCCTATCAAACAGCTTTGCAGAGTGGAATAAATATAAATCCAGTAAAGCGTAACAAGAATTTAAAAATATGTTAGTTAGAAGAATTTTGAAGACCGCAGGTTTTGTTCTGGATTTCTTTGTGTATGGATTTGTTAAATTCCATCCGCAGCACACCTGATTTAATTTAATGAAGTATCTCAATGGTAAGTGTAAGTATTGAACATACTTTAAAATTTAAAATTTTAACCTAACACACTGACAAACATTCAATCACAATGCATTGTCTAATTGTTCATTTATGTTTATTCTAAATGTTTACTTCCCAGATAATTTGCTGCACACATCCTTTTTCATAGCAAGACTTTTGAACAGTACTGTATGTGTAGATGTATATATTGCATATCATCTTGTCTTTTGGTGCACTACTTTACAGAAGTGGAGTTAAAAGATCTCAAATGTTTTCTTATTTTTATGTCATGAAATGAATTGGTAGACAAAACACATTTGTTCCATTCTTAACCGAAGCAGAATCCTTCAAAATGTGGTTAGATCTAAGCGATGAGATCATCACTGCGTACAGCAGAGTCTCTAAACATTTTTAATACAGATGGCCTTTGTCATGAGATTTATGAAAATCCATGGTTCATGATGGTTCGGTGGTTATTGGAGTTCTGCTGAACGCTGACATTTGGATGAAGAATTACACGACTGTCGTTTCAGAACACTGAGACATTCTGTGAGCTTAGACATAATGAAGGTCTTTCTAAGGATTCTTCCACTGACGCATCCAGAGGAACAAAGTACGGCAAGCCCCCTGGATACGATAATCTGAGAGAGCCAAGTAATATAAGAACCAGCTCTGTTTTGCATGTAGATGTCACATACAAGTTTTGGGCGAATCTTCAGTTGCTTATCTGTAGTGATTGAATATTGATACCTGTTTTCAAGAGAAAACAGACTTATGTTCCACCCACTGTGATAACAAAACAAGGGTTTTCACATTGGTTCAAACAGGCCAACCTCATTACACCACCATTGGATAAGGCAACTCAATTCAGAGATTTTCAAAGCTGGTATCGAGTGTCTAATGAAGGTACTCTGTGTGGTAAAAATGAGAAAGCCTTGATTGTGCCATGGCTGTGTGTTTCATGGATATGGACGAATGGTTTAAACATGTTAAACATGTGGAGTCCAAATAAAGTGTCATAGGGAGGTCATGTACTTTGCTGAGCTTAGGCTCCAAGTGAAATCCATGTTCAGCTATTTAACAACATCTATGTATTTCTATTCGACAGGTACATGGCAATTGTGCATCCTTTGAAGCCACGGATGAAGTACCAGACCGCCTACTGGCTCATATTCGGGGTTTGGATCATCCCCATCCTGATCTCCGTCCCCTCTGCCTACTTTGCCACGGAGCAGGAGTACCCTCACAGCACTGTTGCCCACGACAACAAGATCTTCTGTGCCCAGATCTGGTCTGCAGATCAGCAGCTACTTTACCGCTCCTACTTTTTGTTCGTTCTGGTCGTGGAGTTCCTGGGGCCTGTGGCGGTCATGGCAACCTGCTATGCCTGCATCTCGCATGAGCTGTGGTTCAAGAATGTCCCGGGATTTCCAACTGAGCAGCTCCAGCGGCGGTTGCGTCGTCGTCGTCGAACCGTCGTGGCACTGATTGCTGTGCTGGTGGCCTACGTGTTGTGCTGGGCACCGTACTATGGCTTTGCACTCTTGCGTGATTTTTATCCAGCGCTAATCACACGGGAGCGCAACTCGCTGGTGGCGTTCTACATCATTGAATGCATCGCCATGAGCAACGGGGTCATCAACACTCTGTGCTTCGTGAGTGTGAGGAACAATGCCGCCAAGTGTCTCAAGGGGACGAAACTTGTGCAATGGCACGCCGTCTCGAGGACCAACGCTACCATCTGCAAGATGGCAGAAGAGGGTGAAATCAGGACTTCCTCAGTTAGAATGACAGAAGAAGTGGAATGTACACAGATAAGGTGAAAAAATGGAAAGAAAGCAGAGGAAGGAAGAAATCGAGAGAGTGTTCCTGGTGTTGCCGTTTACATTGAAGCCAGTGAGGTGTTTTACTTACACCAAGGGACAGATTGTGGCATCTTAGGTTCCATTCCTGATAGAAATTCTCATATTTTAGGGTGACAGTCCAGTTGGCCTAGTTCAGAAAGGGTAACTGGTGGACATAGAAGAAATATGTCCTTTATAAAACTGAGGAGGAATCCTTGTAGTGGTAAGATAGATCGGGGTTACTTAACTGCAGTCCAGCAGGGCCCCAGTTCTACTGTTCCTGATTCAACACATCTGTTAATTATTGGGTTCAGTAAAGCTTTGTGCTGCTAGAATAAAACTGAAAAGAAATACTAAAGAAATCATGCATAAAGATGAAGTAATATACCCCAAAACAGAGCCTTGAGGCACTTTATGGGGTAAAACAATACACAATGAATGGAAATCAACAAACTGTGCTGGACTGCAGCTCTCCAGGACTGGAATGGCATTGGCCTTTATTCATTGCCCTTCTCTTGTGAAGCGGGCACATAGTTCAAAGGACATCAGCTTCACAGGGTGCACAAATGAAAATACCTCAGAACAAACAAAACTCATCTCCATCCTTTTTTTTCTGGAATTTAACTTTGCCAGAGCAATCCAGTAGATTCAGGCATCTTCATAGAACATTTGTGGTACAGCTAGAATTAAGACTAATGTTCTGCTGGCATCTTCAAAACTAAGTTTGTGATTTGCCTAAAACATAATATCGGAGGTATGAAGGATGAATCCAGGTATACACAGCAGAGAAACAAAGGTAATCCCAATGGATTCCAGTTGTCACCAGGTGTAAATAAAAGCAAGGGCAACAAAATCCAAAACAAAGTCCTTAAAGCATGTAGGCCATAAAGCAGTTAAGCTCACACTTTGGCTTCCTCTGAAATCTTGCACGTCTATCAATAATAAGTAGTGTGCCAAAAATTCCAGAAAGCTTAGTGTCTCGAAAACCATAGTATTCATCAAACAGTAGAAAAAAAGCACCTGGATGCTGCAAAACATCTGCTTAAAACTGGAAATGTGCGAACATTGGACACCACTCAATCCCATAATTCCAGCAGTACAATGGAGCTTCTGAGGCAATCGATCAACTTGGAGAAGATGGCTCATCTCCCAGCTCAGGCGCAGGACGTTAACTTTATAAACTGTGTCATAAATGAAAAGTGGGAATAAAGTTTGCCCTTGACTACAGTTTTGTCTTCTGGGTAAGGAAGCTAATCTGCTACATTCTGCTGTAAATAAAGCGTCAAACACTGCAGATGCAACAAAAATTCTGCAAGCAACAGCTCAATTTATGTCTATTATTGATGTTTCAAGTGTTGCAACACCACTGCAATGCATTTTGTGTGTGTATAATAAAATAGAAAGTGAATCTGATAACATTGTGAATTTTTGACAGCTCACAGTATGTTCGTTACCAAAGTGTGAAGTTTAGAGGTCAGATAGAGAGCAGCTACTGTGGCTGTTCAAAAAAGTGCACACTTATTTGGATGCTGTACTAAGTAAACAGGATAACTTTATTTGAAAATAGACCACTAAAGTACATCATTCTGTAGTCTGCGTAATGTCCATATTAGGAGCTCTGAGTCTAAGCTGTTCTTCTCTATGTGAGACATTAATACAGTGAGTAAATATATTTTTTCTTCTGTATAGACGAGCAACAGCGCCTAGACCAGACTTTCCCTGCATTCAGCACTTATCAGTGGAATTACTGTAAGGCCAAAAGACACTTCAGAAGTCCACAAAAAGAGCCTTTAAACAGGTTTAAACAGAAGAAGCCCAGGGTTCAAATCTAATAAATACATGCCTGTGAACTTCAACAAAAACTCCAAGGAAGATATTTGTCTTTCATCTGGATAGAGATTGGAAGTGCACTGCAAAGTCAACACGAGACAGGCTTAAAAAGAATGAAATGGATGTCCTTGCGTGGCCCAGTCAGAGTGCTGACCTTAATCCAATTGAAAATCTGTGGCAAAAGCTCAAACTTGTTGTCCATCGTCAATCCGTAACTAATCTCACCCAGCTTTGAGGAATTTTCCATGGAGGACTGAGCAAATATCCTTCCGTCTCAGCGCGCAAAGCTAATAGACGCTTATCCAAAGAGTTTACTTGCTGTGATAGTTGCTAAAGGTGCTTCAACAGAGTGTTAACCAAGGGCAGATGCTTTATTTATCTGTTCATATCTTATTTATTTTTGGTGTTTGAGTGGCTCACAAAAAAATTCAACAACGAAACTGAATCTGTGTTGTGAAATGTGGGAAAAGCAGATGGGGCATGAACACTTTTTCAAGGCACTGCAAAAGTGAAAAAATGCATGTTGCATAGTGAACTTAACCAATATTTTGTTATATTGTTTTCCTGTGCAACCAAAAGTTAGAGGTAAGGTCCATTCACTGGAGTCCCATATAATTAGTGAGTGCATTTTCAAGGCTTTTTTAGTATGTAAAACGCCTTTTCAGCAGTAGCATAAAAATGCCATTGGGAATGAGTTTTTACAGCCTATATGTAAAAACTTGTAAGGAGAGAGGTCTCTACAGGTATGGAAAAAATATCAAAAAAATAATGATAATAAGACAATAAATATATGAAAGACAAATGACAATAAAAAAAAAGAAATTGTAGGGGCACAATCCATATTCTGTGTAAATCCCTTGATTATCATCATTATTGCAGTACTGTTTCACTGTCCTGATTTTCTCTCACAATGGCCTATTCTCCTTTCTATTATTGCATTGTGATGATGCACTCACTGTGACCAAATTACAGCTGTGATATTATTCATGGTAACACACGCCATTCTGTTTTGTATTGTTGAATTATTTTTAATTATTTAAGCATTTTTAAGGCCAATTTCCCAAAAGAGCTTTTGAGGGTAGACAGTAGACAAACCTGAAATGCAATACACATATGATGTTACTTTTCCATCGTGTTATGCAGAATTTGTGCCACAATGAAAAGAAAACCCTCTATTACACTGTTTTCATTTCGCTTGACCTCTTTATTGAAAAACAGTGCATGGGGATTTGCATTTAAAACAAGCACCCCGAATACAGAATTTGTGTCAGAACTGAATACAATCCGCCTTGAAGAGTAATGAAGGCACAGCTGTTGCATTCCACCTTGCAGTACTTCAAAGAAAGCTATATCAATTTCCACATGTACCTGTTTAAATGCAGTCTCATGTGTACACTGCATTTCACTGTTTTGATTGCAATTCAATGAGGCAAAATGTTTAAAGTACAGAGAAAAAGTTAAGCGATGTGAAAACAGTGTAATAGAGGTTTTCATTTGGGCACATATTCTGAATAACTCTATGGAAAAATAATGTTAAGTGAGCATAACATTTACACTGTAGTGTTTGCTTTTCAATTTGGCACAAATTCCTCTCCATAACAGTCTATATTCTCTGTAAATTGAATATATTTTACACATATTAGAGTAGGCTGAGCTGCTCTCAAGATAGCAAACGGGCTAACAGGCTCCTCAAATAATATTCAGAGACAAGCTTTGTAATTTGGTCTTTACTAAACGACAACATACACTGCCATTCAGGTGACGTCTTTTTCGGGAAAGGCCTTGCTTATTTCAGTAAGACGATGCCAAACCACATTCTGCACGCCTGCATGCAGTCCAGATCTGTCACCACTGAAAACATTTGCTGCATTATGAAATGAAAAATACGACAAAGGAGACCCCGAACTGATGAGCAGCTGAAATCCTACATCAAACAAGAATGGGAAAACATTTCACTTTCAGAACGACAGCAGTGTCTCCTCAGTTCCCAAACGCTTACAGTGTTGTTAAAAGAAGAGGTGATGAAGCACAGTGGTAAACTTGCCCCCGTCCCAACTTTTTTGGAATGTGTTGTTGGCATCAAATTCAAAATGGGAATATATTTTTCAAAAAAACAATAAACTTTCTTAATTTCAACATTTGATATGTTGTCTTTGTAGTATTTTCCTTTAAAAGTATGATTTACATGATTTGCACAGCATTGCATTCTATTTTTATTTACATTCTGCACAGCGTCCCAACTTTTTTGGAAATGGGGTTGTATTTTAAGCAGTGAAAAAGTTGTAAAGTGGCAGTTTGTTGGGGGACATTATAATTTATAATGTTGACGCATCTATAACACAATATAACAACATTAATCCAAAAGGCATGGAAAGGGAGGATGGGACATGACTGTATTTTTAAAACGTACCTAAAATAAGACAATTGCTAACACCTCTTTATGCAGAGAAAGTAGTTCATGCTTTCATAACTTCTAGATTAGACTACAGTAACGTGTTACTGTCTGGCTGCACTGCTGTATCTCTAAATACAACTATCTCGGACTAGTTCAGAATGCAGCCGCCCGTGTGCTCATCAGGAAAAGAAAGTCTTGTATCACCTAGTCTTATTCAGCTTAAACTGGTTTCCTGTTACGTTCCACATTAACTTCTGACACTTAAAGCTATTGATGGCCTAGCTTCGGCTGGGTGATCAGCTAAACCAGCACCAGACCAGCACTGACTTCACTATGCTGACTTCAGTCAACCACCCTTTTCTCTTTACAATAGCATTGTAAAGTATTAAAGTCTTAAATCTTTAAGAACAAAACATCTCCACGTGGTTGCCAAGTAGAGACAAAATCCTCCTTAATCTAACTAAATGTGTGAAGAACTAATCTTTAACTGAAGGAGTTATCCTGGCTGGGTTCCTCAAGGCTGCAAGGTCATTGTTAAGATCCAGAGGCAGTGGAGCTAACACATGCAGATGGGCAGTTAGACTCACAGTCACGACCATCCTCACAGCTGACTGCCCTGTCACAAGGTGAAAAGGTGTAAAAGGAGAAAGACCTAAAAGGTAGCTCCAGGACTTCATTAGAGAAACTAGCTAGCATGTCTTTATTTTCATGTTTTTTTCCCTTCTGAAGCTCTTTATCCTGTAATTATGGATGTTTCTCTCATCATCGGTGTGAGCTCTGTACATCTTCAGCGAGAAACTATTGAAAACTACTAAATGGCCCTTTACTTCTCATGTAAATGTTTTTCACTTAGGGGTGTCAGAGTGGAAATAAGGCCCAATCCCGTTTCTTCTTTTTACCCCTACCCCTTGTTTGCAAGTGTCACCCTAACCCCTTGGAACTGAGCTGCAAGGGATAGTGGTTGAAATCTTGCTGTATGAAATGGGACAACCCTCAAAAACATTGCTTCATTAACAGGCTACTAGCGCTGCTCTGTAGGCAACCCGGCCCATCTTCAGTGATAGCAGAGAAGGGAAAAGTTCAGTGACCTCGCTGCTGGGCTTTAGTTACATTTGGGACATCATATGCCTTCAGAGGGGGGTTAAGACAATTATTTATTATCGCCCATCCCTAATTCTTGGGTGATATGAAGCTGAAGTCAGCTATTCACCAGCTTCTTGCTTGAATTTTCCCGTTCCACCTTAAATGGTGCAGCAGTTACACTCTGGCGCTTCAGGCCTTAAAATTGCTGGACTATTTAAGGTGGAATGGGAAAGTTAGCTAGCTAGCTACCAAAACATTAGCATTCTATTCGCGATTTTTTATGCTTGTTATGAAGAAAATGACCATAATACATTGAAACGACATTAAACTAAGA